CTATTGTTGATAAAACTATATTGAGTAAACTTAATTAAGGAATTACATTTTTTGGGTTTCTTATGGTTAGAATATGTGTTATGATGTCCAATAACAAATGTCCGGTTTCGTGTTAATTTACTTCTTCATTTGTTTTCAGACCTTGATGTGTAGTTCTTGACTTCACAAAGTCACAACCTTTATACAAGTCTGTATAAACACTCTTCGGGTCTAACACTTTTAATATAATGACCTATAATGACCGTCATCTGACAACTAGAAGCAAAAAAACATTTAATGCCAAAGTTGAGTAGTGAGTACTAATGTAAAAAAGGTCAAATAATATTATTAAAAAAAAACTGTTACAAATTGTGTTTATTACTAACAGAGTCATAACAATTTGAAAATCTTGACACTTTGACCTTTGTAGTTAGTTTAATTGATTATAATTTGTATAATCAGCGTATCTCGACAGTAAGCGCAGTATAATATCATGTAGCTCCATTTAACTACTAATGTATTGCTATGTACATCAGATAATTGTAGAAAATATGTCCACTGATTGTTATGACTTAATGTTTGTCTAAAATAATTTGTGTAACAACATCACTCAATGAATTCTCGTAACAAACAAAAACCCTAATGTTATGAAAACAATAATCAAAACAGTTGGGTTATTATTTCAAGGATTTATGAACTATCAATACAACTATAAATCATAAGTAACAGAGTAAAATGTATTAATACCTACATTTTTTCAAATAAATTAACACATCAGTAAACACATGAGTGATGAAATGAAACGAGAAAAAAACAATTCTACAATAAATAATACTGTACTGTAGTCTGTAGCCAAAGACATTAAGGTTTACCACTTAGTCATTTCACCCAAGAAAAAAAAACATTTTAAATTACTTTAACCTAGAATTTCCAAATTAAGTAAAAACTAATTTAAAAACTTATAACTGACTATTCATTTTATTTAGACATCAATTGTCAGTATTCAAATAATTAATCTGTTGTTATTGTTATTAATATAATTATTAATTTAAATACAAAAACTCTTAGAACCATTTATCGACTTAATAATTTACTCTTACGTTTTATACATTAAAATAGTTTCTATTTAATTATATAATCAAAAGATTAAAGCTACATTGGTTAAGAAATATCTGGAGAAATTTCTTTCCCAGGAAAGTGCACGTTCTTAATTCAATTTTTATCAATATGTAAAAAAATAGTAAGGGGAATTAAGCTTTAAAAAGTTAAATACTAAAGATTCAATTAAAACACAATTTTTTTCAATAAGTAAACTATTGATTATAAATATATTTTATCTAACCAATAGTTGTGGCTTTTCCGGTTTGTATTTTTTTTACTTGGTACACGAAATATTTTCCAATGAATAGCGCATGAATGATACTACAGTAATGTATGCATGATAGCAAGTCCTACAAGTACCTACTATGTTTCCCGTTTCGCGAGCATGCAGCAAGGTCAAACACACTATAACTATAATAAATACAGGATTTATATTTCAAAATATTATAATTTCGACACGTTTTAATAATAAAAAATTGTAGGCAGAGAAATTTCAGATGTGTAATTATAAATTACATTAAATTACTCGTCGCGTTTATCCACCCTTCTACATTTTATAACTTGATTACTAAATCGACTACCCCAACGAAATTTGGATACATGCTATAACATGTATCCAAATTTTCAAACTGATATGTTAAAAACAGAATAAGAATTTAAATTTGAATGTTTGTTTGGTTTATCCTGGAAAGTTGCCAAAAACGAGATACGACCCTTTTCGTTGGGGCAGCCGAAATAACGACCTGTATTCACTTTCGGTAAATCGATTTATCATGCAATATTCTAATAGTTTTCCGTATAAATAATATTTCATACAGTTCAAACTACTTTTAAGTGACATGTAAGCGACCGGAAAAGAATGAAAAAATGTATAAATCAAAAATATTATTTAAAAAATATGCCTTATGACTATATAGGCTAACAAGGAATTAGTTGAACTAATCGAATCGTATCTAAATTCCAAATATTCAAAACCGATTTTGTTACGACTTCGTCCTCTATAATTATTGTTTATTTCCGTACATTCAAATTAAAAACATTGAATAAATATCATATTTATTTTATAAGAAAACAATAATTAACCATAATTTATTGATCACGCCAAATATGTACGTCTGCTGAAGACAACAAGGTCAGTGGAAATAACCAAATGTTACGATTACACACCTACGGTTAACAGAATATCGTTGATCAGTCAACAGCCTTTCTCCAAATTTACATTTTACACCATTATGCTTGACATTTTTATTTGATTTTTAAATTGATCATACATCATGGCCGTTTTCAGAGGAAGGGTTAGGATTCAACTCTCCCTCTCCGAAAAGTAATGTAACAACCCGAAGACATATTTTGATTTTAGTCATGAAAAATTTGCGTTAACAAAAAATATGTGAAAAACTGCAATGTCGTTGTACATAAATTCATTTCAATTAGTGTTTCGCACATCGAATGTAAAGTACTTGTATTTTATCTACCTATAAAATTAGCACGAAATATATTAAAATACAAAAAATATAAGTAATCTTACCCAGTACTTAATTTTTATGTTTGTTTCTAGATGATAATTGTATTTTTAGTCAAAAACTCATTCAGCCAATATTGGAGTAAGATGCTGACAAACTTTAATTATTGATTAGTTAGTCCCAAAAGGCAAAATGTCATTCTACGCCCTCTCTAGTTCAAGTCAACAAAAATTAGCATATTATTTTTGCTCCGTTTTTTATTTTAGACCTGATATTCTGTAATTGTTCCTAATAGGCTTCAAATTTTTAAAAGGCCTCTCAACTCAATTTTGAACTAGCCAGATAAAAACGACCGCAGCTCAGAAGCTCCAAATAGAGGTTAGGGTTTGGCCCTAATTTCATTGACTCGGTCCCCGAGGGTAGGAAGCTTTTATTCTGTAGTTCTGATAATTATCATGTTTCTTTGTAAGAGATAATAACAAACATTATTTCTATGTACTACATTTTATAGGTACTAAACTCATGTTTTTCGTTATAAATATTGGGTAAAGAAATGTTACTAATGTCTGGTTAACGCGGCAATCGTCTTTTTTAATGTTTTCATTGGACTTTCACTTTTTTAATGTGCATTAAATTATTCTATTATTTAGCTGCTCTGGAATAGTAAGAATGGAGTTACTACGTGGTAGAACATCTATAAACATTTGCACAACAAAGCAATGTAGCGAATTCAATGTATAAATTATGCATGACGTCAAGTCATACTTCTAAAGCATTAAAATAATTACTAAAGCAAATAATACACAGCGTAAGTTACGTCATGTGTCATATATATTCGATAAAAATAAATCATACTGTTTACCTAGAATTTTGCATATGGGTCTAATACTCTCATGTGCAAGGTGCCAGTGGAGTATTTACGGGGGGGGGGTTATATCTGTATACCCCCCCCCTGTCAATTTTCACCTGCGGGCGCCCTTTTATACTATATATTATACATAATATATTATAATTTACAGCAAATCGCCTGTCCCATTGGGTACATTCTAGTAGAGTAATAATAATATGTAATAGCTAATATTCATTAAATATAAGAAACCACAGTTTATAAGGACTCGTGAGGGCAAAGGAGGTTGTTAAACCGGTAACCTATATTTTAATTGTTATACATCTAACGTGGACTATGGTCAGTGACCGTGTGTAGATCGATTAGGATTACAATATAAAACCTTGAAAATTATAAATTCTACTACTTTTCAACATCTTTTACTCTCTTCTTTGACTGTCCCGCTAAAAATAAACTATTAAAATATTAAACCTACATCGAAGTTTATTTTAAAGTTTTAAGTAAACGACAATGCTTCGACGAAATCATTTAAAACGATAAGGGTTGGTCTGTAGGGGTAGTTAATAAAATAAATTATTAAACACAAATTAAAATGTATAGTTAATTTTAATTTAGTTATTTAAGCAATCGAGTAAAATATAAAAACTTGGGAAAAAGCTTATAATAGTGTGTCCAATTATAATTTATTTAACATATTAAACGACAAATGCAATAGTATTATAATTCTGTTTGGATACTAAGATTCCGTGTTAAAAAGCGAATTTTTAAATCTTAAACTATAACATAATTTGCACGTATAGGCGAAGGTTGACTCAATTGTTTCAACATCGTATACAGCGTACCTACCTATTTAAAATGCACACAAAATGCAATTGTTAATTACAACTGACTTATTTGACAGTGAAATAAAACGACAGAAAAAATTACAATGTTAATTACAATATTTTTTTTATGTTAAAAAGAGTATATTTCAAATATGTATTATTATTAGCTGGAAGTTCCTTACAATAGTCAAAATACAACAAACTTAACACGAGTGTAGTTTATATGGTATTTAGAGGTCAAACTTGATTAACACCTGAAATCAAAATATATCAATTGAAATGTGCATATTATTTTCATCATAAAAATATCCTGGTAAAAAAATAATTTCTAGAATCCAAAGCTCTTTTTACCCAATATTTTAACTTAATTTTTTTTTTGTGGGTATGTATCGACATACGATAGAATTTTTTTTAACTTAATAAATATAGTACTAACTAACTGATATACAGTAAAATATCAAAAAATAATATATTTATATATCCTCTCTGCTAAAATGTTTACTAACGTTTTTATTTTTTCTTTTAAATGTTAAAACATAATTCTTAGAACATTTAGTTTCCTTAAAACTAAAAGAGTTCATTAGAGAAAGGTTAATAATTTGTCTAGGTACACCTCAATATTTTAACACAACATTATTACTTCTGCATTCGTAAAAAATAAATTCAGTCAATTTTGTTAAGTAGTTTTTTGTTGTTTATTACTGTAATTTACAAAATATACATAAATACTAATAAGATTATCAAAATATAAATTATCACCTAACAGTACTATCTCAAAGTACACATTTAAATTTCAGCTATTATAATATTATTCATAAAAAATAATACTGTTAAATATAATACATCATAATAAATAGTATTAATATTTAATTATCATATTATATACGAACTGCTTTTTTAAACAATTTTTCAACTGGGTACAAGATTTTTGGTTATACTTACCAAAATTCATATAAAAAAAAAAAATTGACACAATATTTAGATTCAAACGGTATAACTCGCACATTTAATGTTAACTGTGCTCATGTACAAATATGTATTTTGTATATTATATTACATCTATTATAAAGTAACATATACACAAGTTTTTCTTAAATTTAAATAATAATATATAAATCACAAAATTCAGACTAGGATCAAAGACATAACGTGTCAAAAAAAAACTATTTATGATAAAATACATAGACTTATACAATTTGATGGTAACGTTTTGAGTATTTACATAATAGCTATAGAAAACAAATAAAGCACTATAATAATAATAATACAAATATTTTTTAAGTTGTCATAATTTACAGCATTTTTTTTTTAAGTTTAGGTCATAACACTAATTGTTTAATATCTAACTATAAGGTTTATCTTATTGGAAATGATACAGAATTAAGTTTTAAAAATATTTAAGAATAACATTTAAAATACAAACGGAATATGTAAGTTGTACAATTATAGCAACTCCTGGCCAATGTCTAATTAAAGATTTTTAAAATTACCAATCAGATATATAAAAATAAAATGTTTAGAAAACAATAATATTTCTAAAATGTTTTTATAATATTTACTGTCAACATGATTTTTACGCAGCCAAACAAGTCATAATTATAAATAAAAAAATTGATTAAAACGAAACATAACAACAAAACAACAAATGTTAATACCAATGTTAAAATTAACTATAAATAAGCTTTTTTTCTGGCCAGGCGTTCAAAATTTATCTCCGGATATAAAACTATATAATAATTTTTTTTTTTGTTAGGAGATAAAAGCCGAGTTATTAATACATTTATTTTTTTTTTCAAATATTTAAAAATTGGAAAGGATGCTTACAATTATTGTCTATATAAACTAAAAAATTAGGAACACTCAAAGGAAGTTGTATGACGCTATCAAAACGAGAACAAATATTTCTATTCTGCGTATGCAACTTGCACCCGCTGTCGATTTGGGACCAGATTCAAAAACACTTAATGTTCTATTTGACAATGATCGCGGTTCAAAAAATAATACATCCGAATAGGCAGCATGAGAAGCGTTGATAAACTGTTCGTCATGTGATGTCATCATATCAAATACACACCAATCTAAATACTGATCGGTCAACCGGTGGCCAGTTGGACCTACACTGCTGTGGCATAAATTCAATGCTTGTTCTAAGTCACTTATTACGGCGTGCTCGACATTCAATTGTTCAGAAGGTTGACAACCAGATGAGCAGAGTTCGTTTTTTTCTTGATTAAAAGTTTGTGCCAGCTGAACGGGAAGTTTAGCTGAGACAGATAAATACTTTCCGACTCTGGTTACAGTGACTATAGTAGAGATGTATGATAACCGTACGATTACAGTTTCACTGTTAAATTCGTTGGGGCGCCAAGATAATGAAACTGTAGGTGAAGACGACGGTCCAAAAGTTGTGGTACCGTCTTCAAACGTCATGGGTAATTGAGAATCGCCTTGAGCTTCGTATATTTTTTGTGGAGTACATTCTGGTTTATGAGCTTTCAACATGAGTGTCAGCTGGAAAAGAAAAAAAAATTGTTATAATATACTAAATGTTAGTTATATATTACGTCATTCTAAAGATTATAAATATGACTACACAAATCATGTTTTGAGTAAATACTTTCAGAGTAATTAAAAGTGTTGGCAGGAGGGGAGAAGTGCAACAAAATACTTTGGCACTATTTCGCAAATATGTTTCCAAAGTGACACAAGTAAAAACTACTAATAAAATAAAATGTTTTACTTTTTATTTACTTTTTGACTTGTGTCACTTTAAAAGCACATATAAAACCTACAAATTTAAATGTTAATAGTTCAAAAAATCTGTTAATTAAAAAAAAAAACAATTTTAATCTATTACTTAATGAGTTATATTTATAAAGGGAAATATTTTACAAATTATCTCAATTTCCTTAGGAAATATTTCAATATTAGACTTCATGCTGAAGTCCTGACGGCCCTGTAAATTGGTTCCAAATGAGCAAAATAAAAAATACTTTTTTTTCTAAGATTTGTGTCTGAATCTGAGTATTTATTTGAAATACATTGGCAAGAAGTTTTTTTTTTCCTTGATCCTGCTTTTAAGCAAAAAGTTATCCACGGAATGTTTTAAATTAACAAGAATACTCCATATAATGTTTTACTTTTTATTTTTTTCTCTAAGAAGGAAATGTTTTTATTTAATTTTCTAAAATACAAACTGCATATGCAATAAGCATACAATTATTATTATTATTATTACGAGAAAATGTACTCTAAAACAAAAATAAATGAGTTTTCAATAAACAAAAACTTCTCTCTGGAATATTTAAAATAAATACTTAAACACAAATAAAATTCTCTTCAAATTGAGTATTTTGGTTTTTTTCTTGTTTGGAACCAATTTGTTAGGCTCGAGCATAAAAATCTCCAAAACCCCATAAAAAAACCAATAGTATACATCTGTGATTTATATTTTAAAAATAAATAATTACTTTAGTAGGAGCAGTTGCTGTTGTACTATTTGAAACAGCATCATTAGTTACCATGACACTAATGAATGGGTTGTCGATCATTTGCCAAGCACCATGAATGCGACACGTTTGATATTTGTTATCAAATGTCCTTAAATGTGGATCACCGAATAGGCCGCAAAATCTATGTTCCTGATGATCATTAAACAACACGGGGCAAGCAGGTCGGTTGTATATACTTGGAACCATTGATTGTACGTGGTCAGTAGAATTATTGTTTCTGGATGCCTCGTCAGTGCCGCTACATTTTCTTTTGAACTCCGCATTTAATACTGTAACAGCAGAGTGATAGCCAATGTCTCCCCGACATTTTTTCGATAATTCTTTCATGCATTTGATGGATTCTTCTAAATCCATACATGGATTGTCAGCAGGCTGGTTAGAGAAAGAACACTTTTCTTGTGGGCAATAACCAGCCCAACAGATGCTCACTAAAATTATAATTTTATATTAACATTTAATTTTTAATTTTAATTATTTAAAATAAAATATTATAAATAATAACAAAACTACTATTGAAAAACTAAAAATACTGAATCATCAACATTAGCTAGTTGAGCGATAAATCATTTTTATATTAAGTAATTTAAAACATTTGAAATATCAGTTGAGATTCAAACATTAAAATGACATATAAAAGTTACAAATTTGTTTTTTAAGATTATAGTTTACACATTGCCAATGTCGAAACATTGTACAACTAAAAATATGAATTTTTTTTAACTTGACAAAGATAAATAGTTAATTAAGTTAACTCAAGCAGTTTTGTCAAGGGCGGAGGTTAATAGTTAACTGTCACTATCATAAAAAATAAATTTAATTTTAAATTAATGTAAAGGTTAGGTTATAGAACATTTATTAACTAGTTCTAATATAATTTCACGATAGTAGTATTCTTTGATTTTGATAAGAATTTGTCAAAACATTTTTGAAATGTATCTTACACATGAGATTAAAATTTTAAATCATAGAATTCTGAATATATATATTTATATTGAGATAATTACCTGTTAAGGTGACCCATGTAATCCACAAGCGAGGAATTCCGTTGACGACAAACATTATAGAAGGTCGAGAGAAGTACCTGAGTTTGACTATGTTACCATATTTTCATATTATGACTGTAAACAAAAATACAAACAACTTTTAGTAGCCCTTAAGAGGCCAGTGTAATCTCACTACATATCATAATAGGAAATATTATCATAAGACAAAACTAGGAATAATAATATATATTAACCTATATATATTAACCTTACAGACATAAAAACTAATCGAAGAATTTGAATTACCAATGTACATGTAAAGAATCCGAGTTAGTTCAACCATAATACGGTATTAAGTTTAAAACTTAATAATTTTCCACAAGCTAGTTTGATCTAAACCACACCATCATATCAAGTTTACATTTATTGATTAATCAATAACAATAGATACATCAACTTACACTTTTACAATACTTGATCTACAATAATAATAGTCTGGAATTGAATTTATTCGTTTTGAATTTACTTTATTAAAATTAAAAGTTCTTGTTGTCAATTTGATTTATACAAACATGCGGTAATTTTAACTGTACTTCTACCTCAACTAAAGTGTTCATCATAATACTCAAAACAAATTTACCTAACAAACGTTTTAACAACTCTTTATCATTATGAATATGGTACATATGAAGCTAATACACTATTAGGTACAGAATAAAAGATATCTCTATAACAACAGTAACAATAAATATGTTTTGATATTAAAATATATCATCATTATTATTATTATTATTATTATGTAAAAAGGAAAAATGCGTCGGGGAGGAGTTGTAGAATGACCGGCTGCGGTCGTCGATTGCGAAACATTTGTAGCATTTATACCATTTATAGCTGCAGGAGCAGTCACAGCTCTGGAACGACGATCAACAACACCAAGATGAGCAGCATCAACGGTGTATCGATTCAACGACGACGCGCGCAAACGACACAACTGCACGTTGCGCACACGGTAGAACAACAAACAACTGCACTCAAATTAATTTCGAACTACGATAATATTTCGATAATAATTATGATAAAATATTATAAACAAATAGAGATGCGCGTATAAACAGTGCTATCAAACGGCGGCGGCGGCGGCGGTGTAAACAACAAAACGCAATAACAACATCACACACACTATCGTTGTTGTGTACAGCAAACTGAGTACCTACGGAGGTAGTCGACGGCAGAGAACAAGATACGGACGTACGGTCGACCGTGAGGCAGCGAGGCGGCAGTAGGGAATGTGATCGTCGGTCGGGCCAATCGACGGCGTGACCGGTCGTCCCGCATTACAATATATACGTGTATATAATAATATTCTAACGGGCACCGCGGCCGGTGGTGGGAGAACGACGGCTGTGCATCGGCCAGACTTGATGTCGGCTCGTGGGATTCCAGTCCGCAAGCCCCGAGACCGACGTCCCGGCCGGCATTTCATATTGTCTACTATTTTTTTTTTCTCTTCTTCGTCTTCTTCTTATTTTTATTGTGTTGTACGCGCATATTGTTGGTGTCGGCGTGCACGCATTGTGTTGTACCGCAGGGGGAAGAAAAAAAAAACGTACATAATATCGGGAAAACGCCTAAATAACAATGGTGAATGGCCGCCGCCCGATACGTGGTGTATTGAGAACACCGTGACATTACACCAAAGCAGCAACACTATATGTCAAAAAAAAAAATAATAATAAAACTCGTCAAATAATCTGACTTCAATATATAATATAAAAACATATTATATTATACTTTTTAACGTCCTCCGAGGTTTCGGGTTTTATCACGAAACCCACGGTCTGTTTAAAATGTATTATTCCATCGAACGCGTCGTCCGAGACGTTTTAAGTCTCAATATTAATTCATCCTCGTGATCCTTAGACCAAAACGAGCATGCCGCACTCACACGCATGTATTAATTATTATCCTCGGGAAGATTTCCGCGACACGGCCGTTCAGTTTTACGACCTTAGATGCGTGTCCGGTATTATTGCCGGCGCAAAAAAACCGTCTACATATTGTAATTATACTTACTCAATTGGTAGCCAAAACCGAATGGTCGAACACGTGTATCGGCTAATTTGTTAAACACCGCGTTAAATATAATGTGCAATTTGTTTCACGGATACTGCAACATTATGTCGCAATAGCCGTACGACAGTTGTCTATGGCAGAGACAGAAAATAGCGCATAGCTGCATAACTCTACGGCACATTTTGTCCATAGCTAAAGAGAAAATACGTATAACACCGAGATAAGAACGACGAATACTGTTCAACTATTCAAGATAGAGTATAAAATTACCCTGCACCAGAGTGTATTTTAAGAGCAAAATCGATAAATTTATTCATAACAATTTAAACTTATCGAATACACTAAAGTGTGTTTAACTAGGGTTCAAACGCGAATCGCTAGAGATTTGTCTACACAGTTTTAAGTTTACATTATTTTCTCGTAACAAATTGTTAACCCTGAATCTTAATCTTGAGCCGCTTGTTCAAGTTGGCGGACTGTTCATACTTTTTCGTTAATCGAGTATACTCTGTATACGAATTAATAGCACGCATCATCATTCTGAGATAACCCTAACACTATATATTAACAGTTATCTGCACTAACTAGCGATTTGGCAAAATGACGTTCACTGTTTTGTTTAAAACATCTATTCCAAAATATATTTCGTCAATGGCATTGATAATGCATCAAATTCTTAAAACGATATTATTAAGTATTTTAAAAAATATTAACTTTTTTTCTAGATACCTATTTACAGAATCTTCTAAAAAATAATTGCCACATATTTTTCTAAGTAACATGCTACAAAAAATGTACACTTAGTGTCAGTATTTTCCAAACCGATCCCGCGCCCTGATATATCGTGTACTCGAGCTTTTACAGCACAATATGTAGGTCCACGGACCTCGAGTAATCCATTAGTTCTCACTTTTCATATAATCTGTCTGTCTGTTGTAGACTGAATGTGGCCATCGATAAATAACTATTAAGGGTATTATTCGAAACAGCTGCGCTTCGTGTTCAAAATGGGTGGGTGCGCGCTGTGTGCTGGTATAACGAAGATTTATTTGTATATTTGTAAACCATATTATCAACATTTAAAATTAAACAGTTAAGTACAAAAAGTTGATGATAACAGTGATTATTATTTGATGATAAAAATCAATTACTGAAATAAGCATTTTTATTACTATTTTTTTTTTTTTTGTAGTTTAGAACAAACATAAATAACTGTAATATTAACCAACCAACTGAATATTAACTTAATTATTTTATATTTTTGCATTATTTAAAATAAAATTAACATTTATTGACCGTTATTTTCTCCCGAGTCCCGTATATACTTCTATGTATATTGAATTATGTATGAAAGATTTTTATGATTGTTATTCTAATAATTCTTTGCTGTAATTCACACACACACAAACTACGCCACAGACCACAGTTATAGTTTTTAATTCATCCGTATGCTCATAAATTAATAATTTACCTGGCGTAGTTGCATACAATTTTTTTTTACAAATTTTATGAATATTATAGTTGGCTTAAATAACTATTGAAATATCTACGTGGGGAATATATTTTTCTGCACCTATATATATCTGGACCCGAATCTGGTCTCAAATCAAAAATTTGTTCTCCTTTTGATATAACTTTATTTGAGTGTTCCTAATTTTTTGTTCATGTAGGTCATAAGTAATAACTGTAAGCAACCATCATTCCCTTGTTTGGCTGCATATAAATCATTTATAAGAAGTTTAACGTTTTATATCTTTTCTCACAATTGCACGGTCATTTTTACAACAGCGATGGTCATGAGTTGACTTATGACTTATGATAAAACGCCTTAAAATAAAATGTGTTTCTCCAGCTGTCCATCACCTATACATTTTTGATAAAAAAAAATTTTTAAACCCAAAAATGAGCAATATTTTTTAATACTAAACTATATATGTGTTTAGTTTTTTTGTATTATTACTATTAGTTAACAAGATAACGATTTTATTTTTAATTTTCTTCAGTATGACGGTTATCGAGTATTTATTATACTACCTAGTTATTTCTTTATTTAAATTGACCACAAATGTTGTTTCCACGCACATGTAATTTACATAAAAAAATGTAAATAAAAACTGGCTTGCGAATGGAATTAAATTATATATTTTACCATAAGCTTCGTTATGAATCGAACAATTACGCCTTAACTCTAATCCCAACCCACAGACTCTATTACAACAACTATTTTATTTATAAATTTAATAAATATTAGTTATTACTATAAACTATTTTACAGTTATCACAATCAGATAAAAAACCAACAACTAAAACATTTGGGTGAAACAACTACATTGTAGGTAGATATTACTTGTGACATAAGCACAGATTTTACAAATTGCAATGCTTGTAATTAGGTGACAGGTGTAACCAATTAATCTCTAATAGTAAGACAAAGGAACTTTCCCTCCTATTCAAAAGAGTTAAGCACGCCACTTCTTAAGGAGAACAGCATTCAGTTCAGTTTTTATACAATTTTAAATTTTGCTATTATAATTATTCGTTTTAAAATTTAATAATACTATTTTTTTCTATGTTTTTTAAGAGCTATTAAAATTTGACGAGGTCATATCAGCCTGAACAACACATTTATTATTCGTTTTTATAAAAACATGTCTATAATAATAATTAGGTACCTACTACACTAATATAATGTAGTATATTATAGGTACCATTGCCTAGAGTCCGCAGAGGAGAACAGTGGTAGCCCGGCGGCCTATGCGAGGTGGGGCTGGAAAAAAATAAAAAACCAATGTGATGCTCGATGGCCAATGCGGAACCGAGCAGATAGGCAAATAGTATAGTATTTAGCAGTTTAATGTGGGACGAAGACCAACGATTAGTGAAATAGAGTCCGCTCTTATTTTTGTATTTAAATTGTATAATATTGTATTCTAGTCTTGTCGTCAATAAACGGTGCCGGGAACAAAGGGGAAGTAATACTGTAAGGTGCCCCCCTTATGTTTTTATGGACTTGTAATTTAAAACATTTTTAAAAAAGGTACCATTGCCTCTAAATGTTTTATAATATATAATAAATTTATTGTAATTTGTATTATATATTATGACTTATGTTTATATTATTTTTATTTTGGTCAGATAACGTACCAAGAGCCTAATCTATGTGGCTAGTCATTGGTCGTGTGCAGGGGTCGACTGCCTCCATAAGACCGGCCCATTGCACTGCATTATTTCATAAAAAGCCCTAGTAGATGTACACATTTTTTATTTCTTCGATGTGCTTTATATATTAGTATTATTAAATTTTTTTTAGTTTTTTAGGTAAGTATTTCAATCTGGAAATATTTTCCAACAATTTTAAAAGCAGTATGCTTTATTTTAAAGAGCCTTGACTCAGCATCTATTAAGGAGTTATATTATAATATTTTAGGCAATATCTTTATCACACGCAGATGAGCTGTGTAAATCCCTTGTATAAGTCGTTGAGAATTTTTTTTTTTTAAATCGAGCTCAAAACTTGTGGTAATCTATTGTAATTAAAATGAGTCGTATTAAAAATATGCATATCTTCGAATGAAAATTACATAGAATCTATCTCGTATGTATTATGTTATTTATCGATGACAGATGTTATTACATATTACAAAATTTCTAGTAATACAAAATACTACTTCACGTAACATAATCAAACCGACCCTCGACCAACAACATTTTTGCTCCTAGTGGTCCAGGCTCGCCCCCAGCTACCAACTCTGGCCCATACTTTGCACTATATGGCCGGCACATCGGGAAATTTCCCGGTTTCCCGATCTGCCAGTCCACCTCTGGTCCTGTATTTTTCTTTTAAAGCCTAGGCTATAAATTAAAATGTTTGCAATGTAAAATAAATTAAATATACATGTGTAGTGAGCAGAGCTTAGGCTCATTACACACGTATATTGAATCAGGCCTAGGCCCTAGGTGCTGAGCCAGTGCCGCGAGGCCGGAAATGCGGCCAGAGCCCCCAACTTGTTAGGGGCCCCGGAAGTCTTGGCGCCCTAAGATAACACATTTAATAGGAGAAAACAGCTGTATATTTTCGTGAAATATATAAAACATACAAATCACATTTATTTTAGGGGCCCTTTTAGAGATTTAGAAACCGAGGCCCCTTGGGTACTAGGCCGATCCTACTATGAGCCTATAGATCTATTGGTTAATCTGGCCCTCGATAC